GGGGGAGGGAGGGGGTCTCTCAATATCCGGCCAGAGTCCTCAGCCTCGGCGCGGCACGCGAGACTGTTTAGGCTTTACTTCTTTCCGATAACATTGACGAGGGCGGCGAGGAAAACGAGGAGAGGGGGTAGGGGTATTATCTGGGGAGGAGGAGGAACCACCTCCAGGGTAAGGGATGAAGAGGTGAGACCTCCTCAGAAGATCGCGATCCTCGTGCGAGCGAGCGCCCGCGGCAGAGGCGGTAGGCCGCGCGCGCGCACCCGTGCCCAGCGCGCTGCCTACCCTGCGCACCGCGGGCGCCCCGGCCTCGCACGCCCCGTCGCTGCTTTAGAGAGTCCCTCTACATTTCTCTAGAGATCCTACTATTTTAAGTCTCTGTAGAGAGACTATTCTGTCTCTATATAGAGACTATTATGTTTGTATAGAGAGATTATTATGTCTCTGTAGAGAGTCTCTGTGGAGCACGGTAAAAACGACGTCCTGGTTTCCATGACGTTTGGAAAACCATGACGTTCCCCATGAATTTCTTCCATAAGACGTCATGGTGTTTCCAAAACGTCATGAAAACCGGGACGTCGTTTTTACCTTTAGAGACTGTTTTTTTCCCTGCACCTACCTGGCTGGGCTGCACCGACAGCCTGCCGCCCTGGGTCACGGGCTCGCCGTCCTTGAGGAAGCCGATGGAGGCGGGCCTCGGCGACAGCCCGCCCCGCACCGAGCAGTTGAACACGGCCGTCCGCCCGGCGTCCAGGACCTGCAGGAGCAAACGAGCGAGCCGGACTTCAGAAAAGACAGAGATCGCACAAAACGAAGAAGGGGATGAAACGAAGCGAGACGAGCCGCATTCTGCTGCACTCCAAACGCACTGCTGCGCGGTTCACGATTCACGAGCACTACTTCTTTAGTTGCGCACGGCTGCGATGCACCGCAAACATACACAGGCACACACACACGCAGCACGGTGCTGCACAGCGAGGCATGTAAATTATATGGGCGTCAGGAGAGGAACTGACAAAGGGAGGGAGAGGGGATGAGGAGCGGGGAGGCTCACTGCTGTGATTGCAGCTGGCAGCAGCCTGCGTGCGCGGTCTGTGAATGGACACACATGCGCATATCTGCCCGTGCGCTCCCTGCCCTACATTCTCTTTTCTCCCCCCCCCCCTCTCTTTCTCTCTCTCTCTCCCTCTCTCTCTCTCTCTCTCTCTCCATCCCGTCCGCACGTTGTGCTGTCCATGTTTTGCACCGGCGAACTCTGGGTGATGGCCGTCAGACCGCACAAAAGAGATTTCATTCTTCCTCGTCGTTTCCCCCGTCCGTATGCCCCACCCCTTTCCCCGCTCCCCTCCATCAGCTGCATCACCTCTCCAACTCTACTGGCCCGCACAGAGATGCTCGTTTCTGCGGAAACACACAGCAGCGCTATACTCGCAAGAAAAAGCGCCCCGTATGCCGGCGAGGAATGCCAACCGAAACAAAACCCACCACAATGTGTCTGTCTGCACGTCAGACGCACTGTCATGGCTTTCGGTTCAATTTGAAATAAACTTTAAGCGGACCAGTGATAATTTAATTGAAATTTGCATTTTCTTTCTTTACCATATACCCGCTCTGCAAACCCAACAGCATGCAAAGTATTATGGCATGATAAGTAAATCACCATACAACTCATACATATACTTCGAATAATAGCAGCACATTTTGAAGACCGAACACGTTTTAATAGGAAACTTTGCGAAGCACCGACCCAGCGGCGCGTCTGCTGCTTTCAAAACACGAGCGCTCTCTGCTCACCTGGTGCTGCGGGCGCAGGTGCGCGGTGAGCGGGTGGCTGACGACCAGCTGCAGGTGCCGGCGCGCCTCCTTGACGCGGTTGCTCACGACGCAGGCGTACCGGCCGCTGTCCTCGGGCTGCGCGCGGGGGAACTCCAGGACCGAGTCGAGCGGCCGGGCGCGCGGGTGGTGCGGGTCCAGCTCCAACAGGCTGCCCCCAACCTCGCGGTACCACCTGGACAAACCAAAGGAAACAGATAACGTGTGCAACGTACCGGACAGGAGCAAACCATTTCCCATTCCCTTTTGGATTGGCAAAAAAAAAATAAAAAAAAATGGGGAAATGTGGGGGGAAATGTGCAACCTACCGGACAGGAGCAAACCCGAGCAAACCAATCCCAATTCCCTTTTGGATTGGCAAAAGATGATAGGAAATTCAGCTCGCGTGCCCACAGCAGGCTTTTAATTCCATGGGGGTTTTTCTCTGTCGTCAATTTTTAGTGAACTTAAACAAAAGTTTTCAGTGTGCAAAAAAAAGTGTGGACAAAAGAGCAGCAGTGCCGTTCTGCTATCCTGAAAGTACAGCACTGTTACACATCAGCTACACCTTTTTTCCCATGTGGATTGAACTTCAAAAATTTCGTTTCACTTTTATTGGAAATAATGCTGACTTTTCCAAATCATTCTTAAGTTGTGCAACATAGTTTTTCGAATGCGATTTATCTAGCAATTAAAGGATGCATTTGAATGTATTTCAGTGTACTTCGGTAAACTGCAGCAAGTTTCGTGAATCTTTCGCAAATTTTTATTTATAATTCAAAACTTGGAGTTTTTGTGTGCGAATTTTCAGGAGCCGTTTTAAATTGTCCTCTCTTGTATCTCCTCCCCCTTCCCCCGTTTTGCTAGGCTGCCTCAGCGCCATCGTGGACTGCCTTCCTCCGCACCCGCCCCTCGGCGCTCGCACCACCTGTAGCGCCTCCCCAGGGACTCGTGAGAGCCGCGCCCTTCGCTACCCCACCCTGCCGCGCCTCGCCCAACAACCCTGCTGTGCCGATCCTGATACGGGTTGGAATGGTTACGGTGGATGGCTCCATCCCTATTAGCTCTCAGGACGATTTCATTTCGATTGGGTGTCCGAGCGACCGCGCTTCTCACGGCATAATTCGAGAGGAGTGATTTTCCGGGCGACCATCCAAACGCGATACAGACGAGGGGTGAGGGGGGGGGGGGGAGGGAGGAAAACCCGCAACTCAGTCCACGAGTGCGGCGATGAGGAACGTGATACCAACGGCAGCTAACGGTAACTTAATTTATCTGTCATCATCCATCAATCGGTCCAACGCAAACTTTTGTTGCGCCGTACTCGTTTCGCTCGCCGGCTGTTTGAGGAACAAGAACAAGGCCCTATTTTCGGTGCGTTTCTCTTGCGCGTCGGCTAATGGCCACTCCACATGAGTCATCATTTCCTTGACTTTTCTCTAATCTGCCGCGCGCCAACAGTCGCCGCTGGTGCGCGCGCTCCTTATATACACACAGAAAAAAAAATAACAACAAAAAACGACAAACTTTGCACTCACTACAAGCCGAGCAGAGCAGCGGGGCAGAGGCGAAGCTGCAAACTCTGTAAGGGGGACGCTCCCTCTCCTCTCTTCTCTCTCTCTCCTCCCTCTCTCTCTCTCTCTCTCTCTCTCTCTCTCTCTCTCTCTCTC